TTTTATCCTTGATTCTCGCTCTCAAATATGCATATTCTGTTATCCAATGTATTCATAAGACAAGGTTACTTGAATATGTCTTATTGCCGTACGATATTGTGTAAACTCTCGATATGGCCTTACATTGTTTCACATATAGTCGATATCATTCAGACTAGCCATTATTCGATCAATAAATAGCTGATTGTAAAGAGGCTATTACGAGGACTCTGAATGATTTACTGTTTCTATCTAGATATATTTCGAAATAAGATCATGTCGAAATCCCTCATCTTCCTCTCGTATGCCAGAGGTATAATATTTCTGGGTGCACCATAACATACTTTATGTTTTGCGCTGCTTATGACAGACCAAGATGGTGTGGCCTCTGGTATGGTCGTAGTCTCCTTTCGTTTTGTAGAAGTGGGTTGAGCTCGTTGTCGAAACTTGGTTTCGTTGTCCTGGAAACTTAATAAGAGGCACCTAGTCCGTAGTCGTCTGCCATAGTAGTTATCGAGCCGATGGCAGAACGGGGACAATGAAAGAACAGTAAGGACGATGAAGGATTCAAAAAATGTAGATATGCCTACCTTCCTGCGAACTAACTCAAAAACTACGGTCAATATTAAGGAAATGAAAATCATGAAAAGGAAATCAACACTTTTCACAAATCTACCGACGTAGACAAATTGAATTGTTCAATAGTTCAGTATATCATGCGACGCGTGCAAACCTAAATATATTGGCGAAATATGGAGTGAAATTAGCATGCGAATCGAGGAACATCAAAAGCTCCGCAGGAAAATGGATATCGAATTATCAGAATTAGCGGAACACATCGCATAGACTGGACTGGAAGGCAACAGAAAGAAGGACCTCATACGGTGACAAGACAAGGAAGCGGAAGACTAGGGAGCCCATTGACATCCTTGGGGGAAAAAATCTAATGGATGGGAGATTGGAGGATGGTAGGGTTAGCGATAACTTTGCCTATTGCTTAAGCAAACTCGGCAAAGAGGAGATGACTGGACTAAGGATCTACCGCTAACCGTAGGAAAATGGATCGCGATGAAGAAAGGGGGGGCGGGGGTTTTCGACAATAAAGCGAAGATGTTGTCAGTGAGGGATGTCCGTTTCGAATAAACCAGTACAACTTTGGGGGCCTGGCAGTCAGGTAGCTAGGTGGACGGATAAGCAAACCATGACAGATATTCGATGTTATGGCCAAAATGTACTATAAATCCACTTGAGACTCAGCATGCAACCAGAGATAGGCGTCCACAGTTTGCTCAGGTAGCACGGGTTTTATCAAGAAGAGGACCCGTGAAGGCAATGCCTGAGATCTGCAAGCATGGAAATCAGAGTCTAGGCGCAGTGTGCGTGTTTCTAGGGCCTTGAGAAATAGCCCGATCCGGATTATCCAATCGAAATAGAAGGGTCGGGGTGAATAGCAGGTGTGATGGGGCCACACTAGCTTTGCCACAAAAGGGCACACATTCTGACGAGTGTAATGTGAACAAGTGAGAAGTTGTGATAAGACGGGAGTTTGATAAGAGGGTAAAGAGTAGATAGATAGGACAGGACGTAAGATGAATGATAGTGTAACCATTTTTGGCAGAACGTTGGTGGAAGGATTGACTTCGCTTGCCTCTTTGACGAGTTGTAGATTGGTGAGGAGAATTGCAGCACTCATTGATGATGCCGATTTCGATGCCGGCGAAACGTTTGTGAATGTACCAAGTCCACTGTCTGATGGTGGGAATTATGATAGCTATTATAGCAGACGACTTCGGACTAGGCTCGTTCTAGTAAGTCACCCTGACAACAAGACAACGAGGTCAACCCACTTATATACTTATGATCATTTTATATTTATAAGCTAAAATTTTTACTTGGTTAAAATACTACGCTTTCAATGTTAGATATTCCTCAGCCAAATGCCTAAGATATCCTCTAATATCTGTGGTTTCTTGAGCAAATATCTACTTTTTTCGTCCATCAGCCAATGGTCCTTTGATTTTCTTTTCTCTTTCCTCAAGGCGTTAATTTGCATCAGAGCGGTTTACACACGGGGCAATCAACTGGAAATAAAAATTCAAATAGTTGAAATCGAGAACTGGTTAGTCTTCTGATCGATTCTAACTCTTCTTATTTTCTTTTTTTCACGGTTTGCTCATCACAGATTTCGCACGTCTTATTTCCTCGTTCCCCAACCGCTACTAATAATTCAGGGTCCTTAGTTCTTTTCCACATTTTTGTTTTTTTATGTTTTTAAAAATAACAAATCGATTTTGTTCAGAATTTGCTCGGTATCCTTTTTTGTATTTTTTGCATTCACATATCCATTTCATAAATGATTCACTATATTTATTGCAATTCGTTAAATAATTTACAAAGCCTAGTGAATGTTTTCCTTATAGGAACAAACTAAATTAAAGCATATATTTTGATAAACCACTGCTTTACATATGAAATTATGGATTAGAAAAAGATCTAGATGATCCTTATGAATAACACATGGAAATACACCCATATTTTCTTGTGATAACAATGGACTACGCAATGACCTTTATAAATAATTTTGTTGGACTTCTCATATTCAAGATGGTCAAAGATTACTTTTTTTTAATAAGAACTTCTCTGGAATCGGCCTTTCTGGAATTCGTGGCTTGAGTTCAAAGAAAATTGTATTGCCTCGTAGCAAGCAATTGTCATGTCTCAAATGATTGTGCTAATAGAATGCAGAAGTTAGTTTAGGAAGCCCCCGCTGACTTGCATTATTTGCCAAATACTTACTTTCTTGGTCATACTAGCTAAAAATCCGAATTGTAATTTGGAGGTACTAGACTAAGGACCTAGGTCTGGTTCACATGCATTTGGGAGTGGAAATCGAAGGGGGGATGATGCCACATGCTCCCCTACTCATGTGCATTTTTGAGTGTGCCTTTAATTAGAGGATTTTGGGTAGTTACCAACCAAAGTACACATACACAACTGACTAGGACCTTAGGATTAGGTGGAATGCCTTCATTTGTCACTGATAAGTTGTAACTCTGTGCTAAGGATGGTGTCTCTCATTGATGCTACCGGCAAAACGTCTCAATGTATCAAGTCAACGTTCCGATGCGGCAAATTATCATAAATATTAGGGCAGAGGACGAAGAACTTGGTATGTTTCATGAGGTCTCCCTATCGCTCCGACCAAGTTGGAAAAACGAGGTCAAACTAGCATTAAGTAACTACTTTTTCATTGTAACCTTGAGGTCGGCAGCATCTTCTAAATACGAATTTATGAAATTCTTTCTGAACATATATTATTTTTTCATCATGATTACATCACCTTCTTGGGCATGTATTTCTTGTCACGGCATCTTTTTACACGACACATTTATTTATTGCTTGCACGTTGTATTTTTAGTTACTTACACTAGATTTTCTTTTATACCTCCATTTCCGTTTGTTTTCTTTCATATTTTTCCATCCTATCCGTTTTCCTTCTTTTGATTCAGTAGTATCACCTACGCTGTTGCTTGTCTTCTCACATATCTTAGGATATTTTCTACTTTTGTACATTTATTCCTAAAATAAGAACTAAGTTCACACTAGTTCGCATACTATGATGACGGAATGATAGTGAATTTTCCAAAAGTTGTATGAGTAGGCCTCATGATTTCATTTAATTTCATTTTGCTGCAAATTTCTAGATTAACCAGGCCTTTCGCATATCACATTTCGTGATGAGATTGTCTATTAACTTGTATTTTAAATCGATTGCACAACTTATATTCACCACCTTATTGGAGAAGTCTGATTAGTCTAAACTCACATCTGCCTTGTGATCCACTGGAACCAGTTGCAACATGGCGTATAGGTAATATATATAATAAACTCTGCATTAATAGGATCCAATTCCTGCTGAGGGGGCTGATAGACCCAGGCAAGGTCAAGACTGCAGCATATTCTGGATTTTACTAACTTTTTGAGAGCAGGGCTAGGTGAAAATCTATAACATCTTGAGACTTTCTCATACATTTATTGGAAAATGTAACTATCAATCCTTGATCACATGCCTTTAGGAGGAATTTAGTTCTTGTTCTAGACCTGTAGTTTTAAAACCTATTCTGCTTCAACTGCTTTTATCCCAATGATCAATTAGCTTTTCAAGGAATTTCGCTATTAAAAATCGCATATAAGAATGAGTATTTTTATAGAATTACAAGCCAAACTCTTTAGATTTCCCCTGAATCCCTGTTAGCATGAAGAAAATGAGCGGACCGAGTTTTGCGCAAACTAAGTGGCACTATTTCATTTCCCCCATACAAATCTTATATAGGCTGATTGTATTTCGTAAGCTCTATTTTAGCCTTTAATCGTCTCGCTGGGTGATTTGATTTCTACATAGTTGCTTCTTCAAGCTCATTTCAATAAGCTAATTTAAATGTCCCTCTGGGTCTCTTCTTGCGGTATCGTTTTCTAACAATCATCTTTCGGGCTATCTAAAGGACTTGTTAACACTTAACTCCAGCCTTTATTTTGTAGTAAAAAGCTTTGAACCTAACTTATCTCTTCCTATTAATCGGTTCAAGAAATCTGTTTTTTTCTCTTAATTCAAGGATCTGGCAATTTAAGACCCTTTTTAATTGCATAATTCTTGTGCACCCGATGACTGAAAAATAAGATTTCTTCATTTGCTGGTATCAACTTATTCAAACACCATTTGCATCCAATTCATTGCATGAATAACCTACCACTGATTGGTCATTCTCTATTCCAATAATTTCGTCCGCTTATTTTATATCTGGACTGTTTATATGATTCAGTTATATGTATTCCCATGTTGCCGATAGCCCTGCTATCAACTTCCTAATCTGCTAGCCCTCATTACATGCTTCAGCTTTCACTGCAACCTCATCCTTTTTGAAATTAACTATCCACTGCTCGCTTCTCATCCCATCAATGCACCCTTGCTTATTTCTTTTCTCTATATCTTGCTCGGTATTTTTATTCGTTTACTTCTTTCTATGCTTTCAGCCTGCAATCCTATCACACTCGCTACAAGCGTATTACCTGGTTTACTCCCCGCCATTTCGGCATCAGCGTCTGGAAACCAACCCAACATATTAAATGCAACGATGACAGTCAGTTCAGCTGCGCCTACCATCTCATCAGCTCCCTCTGCTTCCTCTTCCATTCACTCAACCACTTCCGTTACTATGCCACCTCCTCCAGCTTCTTTCATTCTTCCGTCTGGTCCTGCTGGCGGGAATGGCCATCTTCGCCATCAACATCAGCCTCGGCCCCATCAATCCAACTCGAAGACTGGTATTGATCTATCAGCCACTCCATCATCCTTTCCGTCTCGAGAATCGGTCACTGAACCATTATCATCTACTCTGATTTCACACCTTCCTTCTCAAGCATCGTCATCTTCCTTAGTCGATGCTGTGGTCTCTACTGCTTTCCTTACTAGCAGTGGTAGTGGTTCTACTTTGTCACGTCGCCGATGTCCTCCACTTCCTGATACAACCGCTATTACGACGGTATCATCCGCTTCTATAGGCCCATCCTCTAAATCAGCACCCTTTACTTTTATCACATCTAACTCAGGCTTCGAAGGCTATATGCCTACCGCTAACTCTGTTCCGGGTGCGCTCACTTCAACTAATATCGCTATACTCGACTCTAAGACAGCACTACCATTCATTACTACTTCTGTTTCCACCACTTCTATTACTACTTACACTTCTAGTAATACTTCATTAGGATTACCTACGAGTGGAAGCGGTAATGTGTTCAGCTCTTCAGGTCCAGCTAAAACGAGAGTTGGGCTTTTTCGGTCTGGAGTCAGTTCAATCCATCGGCCTGATGGCCTTAGTGGTCGAACAGCAGTCATATCTGGGCCTGTTTTTGGCAGTCTAGTATCTAGTGGACGAGCCCCACATCTTACGAGTAGCAATAGCCGCGCCAATACCGGCCCTAGCCCAACCAGTAACAGTAATGGTGGTAGCAGCAGCCATCATCTTGAAATCGGCCTCTAGTTTTCAAATGATTACTCATTTCAAGGCCACGACTTCAGCTCCATAAATTCTTCATTATTTATTGGCATCCCTTAACTTTGCATTCAGGATTATCTGCTTATTCTCTACCTTATCCGACATCTCACAAGAAACCCTGTCAACCGCTCTGAAGTTTATACCATCCATTTCTTAGGCCTTATTGAAGTCGGTCATACCCTTCATATAGTTTTCTTAGATCACGACCCGATATCCTCTTAGTTCCCAATTATTTTTCACTTCCCATTTTCTCTTAGCTCTTGTCATACAATAGGCTATGACACAGGCTTCCTCCCTATCACTCATTTCAATTTTCGCCCCATTTTAGTTACTGGAATAAAC